GTGGAGAGGAGCCTGGGAGGGAGAGCTGGGGCCCGGGGACGTGGTGACTCGCCCAAGGTCATGCAGGTAGTGAGTGAATGCTTGTCAGCGGTGCCAGGTCGGGCCCTGCTCACTGCGGTGCCCCTGGTCCCCGGCCCGGCACTTCTACCCGCCGGCTGAGGCCTCTCTTCTCCCCGTCCCCCCCAGGGACCCCTCTGGCGCGGTGGCCCACGCCCAGGACGTCATCTCGGACCTCCTCTGCAACCGGATCGACATCTCGCAGCTGGTCATCACCAAGGAGCTGACCAGGGCCGCCGCTGACTACGCGGGGAGGCAGGCCCACGTCGAACTGGCCGAGAGGTCGGGCCGCGGCCGGGAGCGGATCGGGGAGGCGGGAATGGGCAGTGGGGGGCGGCTGGGTTGGAGAACCCGGCCCTGGGTCGGGGTCGGGGTGACCCAGAAATAGCGCCCTTCGCCTGCCCAGCTGGGCTCCCCTCCCACTTCCTGTGGGGCTCAACCGCTCCCCGGCCCTGCCTGTTCCGGTCGTCCCGGGGTGGGGGAGGGAGGCTGCGCCCCGGGCCCCCGCTGCCCCGGAGCTGGGCATGACCCTCCTGTCTCCCCTCAGGATGAGGAAACGGGACCCCGGCAGTGCCCCCAGCCTGGGGGACCGAGTGCCCTATGTCATCATCAGCGCCGCCAAGGGCGTTGCGGCCTACATGAAGTCAGAGGTTTGTCCTCCTTCCCCGTCCCCCCGCACTGCTTCCCTGAGAGACCCACCGCCACCTGTGGCCCTGGCCTGGCCGCCCTCCCCATTCTCACTTCCCCTTTCCAGGCCGGGAGGCTGGGCGCGAGGGTGGGGGCCACGGGTGCTTTCCCTGGGCCGGCTCCTCCCCCGGGGCCCAGGTGGCTGCTCAGGGAGCCTTGTGTGTCTGCCCCAGGCCGGCCTTCCATCAGGCTGTGCATTCTGCCCTGTGACCCAGTGACCTCTGGCCCACTGCCCCCCCAACTCCTGACGCCTCGACCAGCTGGGGGTGGGGGGGGGCTTGGAGGTTGGTTCCGTTGCTTGTGCGAGATCACAGAATCAGGATTTGAACCCAGATTCCCTAGGCTTCAGAGCCCAGGCCCTTTCCGCTGCAGCCCTGGGCCTTCTAACCCAGCCC